TTCCTAGCTTTCGTTTGATATGCATTAAGCCATAGTTGAAATATTTTCTATTTGTGGAGGTCATTAGAGGTCATTAGAGGTCATTAGAGGTCATTAAAGTTCAATTTGATTTTATTATAGGAATTTCGAACCCTAATTAGGCGTGCATCCAAAAAATTGGAAGATTTGAACCAAAAATGAAGGCAGGGCCCCCCCCCCCTACATCAAATGTGCTAACTCCACCATCCCCTTTAGAAACATTTGAACTCCAAACTCGATTCCTTTCCCAATATTGTAAAGCTACTTGCTGGTGATAAAAATTGGAAAAACTAAATATTTATGAGGAGCCAGATGAGCTAGATTCGCTGGATCCTGCCCCTTATTTACAAGTATGATCCGAATTGAAGTTTAACGGATTTTAAGTACTAAGACGGATCTTTTTTGGCGACATCTGAATAAATTAATTTTTACGACTTCATGGCCTCTCATTATTCAAGAGATCTTACAGTCTTTGAACAATTGTAATAAAGAAACTTTTTTATTAAACTGCGTACCTTACTGTTCCATCTTTCTACATAATTTTCGTGAACATTTTTACTGTTCATAATTATAGAACGAAAAGTTCATCTACAGTAATAGGCGACTATATCAATACGATGAAGACGGCTTTAAATGTAAATTTTGATTTAAATCAAGCCTTTTAACAGCAGGGATACACATTAACATGGAAACAATGAGAAGCTGTCAATTAAAAAAGCTCCTCTCTGATTACTTATAAACTTTTCATTCAAAAAAAGCTTGCAAACAGTCAAAACTTAAATAAAAGAGTCGTCTTCATTGTATTGAAATCATTGCCTTCCACTGTAGGAAAAGAACTGAATAGAGGAGGGATTAGAAAAAAAACATATTAAACAAAATTGTGAAACCAATGCGAACTTCTTACATTATTTATTTCACACATGATTACAAAAAAAATATAAACATACATTTGACAACATTAAAGGTACTGTGTAGTTTTTGGTTCTAAATAATTTTTACATTTTCACACGACCAAAGCTGTAAACATTAAAACTGTCAAAATTAAACATCACAACGCGTCAATTTTCAAAGAAAAGCCAACAAAATGTTAAAAATTTGTGTTAGTTCTCACTGTTTAGATCGGAATATTTCAGTTTTAAATTCAACAATGAAAGAATGAAAGAAAGGATTTGGCAATCTTTACAGTATAAATTTTAAACAATTGTAAGTTTGCTTTCAGTAACTACAAAAATATGCATAACTTGGCTGTTACAACAATTTCTTCAGTTAAAAACTTCAGAGGTTGGATCGGTTTCTAGCATCGCAGGATACTTTCTCCAATTAAATATTAGGTTTAATCAGCTGTTAAGCCAATTATCAGCAGAATAAATCCTCTAATTTAATATTAGGTTTAATCAGCTGTTCTGCCAATTATCGGCAGAATAAATCCTCTACTTAAATATTATGTTTAATCAGCTGTTCTGCCAATTTTCGGCAGAATAAATCCTCTACTTAAAGATATGCTTTAATCAGCTGTTTAACTGGTTTCCGGCAGATGGGACAGATGTTTCTATGTGTTCTCAAGGGACCCTGACAACCCTCACAGATACAAAGATGCCTAAACAAAATAATTCTCTTTAATATCAGAGAACCTAACAAATTATGGAAGAAGCCAATTAAAACTATTCACCAACTGTCATGGTTCATGGGACACCCTTTATTAAAGGATTTAAGTTTCAACTTATTTAAAATAGGGGTGGGGGGGAATCATTAGACAATAAATTTACTTACGAATTCAAGAATAAAAAAAAATTTAAAAACGGCCTAAAAGTATGAAAAGTTTAGAGAAAGAAAACATAAAGCACAAAGATGTACTAATGTTATTCAGAACGTCGAACCTGCAAGGTAGTATCATGATACACTTCTCCTTGTCGACACAGATCACACACAGTTTATCCTCCCTCTCCCTCTCCACCTCCCTCAACAGTAGATCCTCAACACTCCCCTCGCTCCCTCTCCTCGCTAAAGGAAAATTAAAGTTACTCCCTCTCCTAGAGAATGTTTGTGTTTGGCGGTCGGAGTTTTATGAAGTTACTTTTAAAATATTTTTCTAAAAATCATTTTTTCCTGAATTCTAAGGTTTACAAAATGTTTTCTGCCATTTTACATTTTAAAAGTTACAAGATTTGTTCTTATTGGAAATTATTTACTCGAATTATTCCACGTGGACGTTAGCCTAAAATATACCTACTTGATTTCGTTTATTTACCACTTTTTGCCATTCCTCCTACTTTGTATTAACTAATTTTGTTTCGCAAACAGAGAGATGTGTTGAGGGAGGGGGGGGGGGGGGTAAATATTCAGAAAATAAGAACCCCGGTCGTTATTTCATCATTAATTTTACCTTGTTGTTTATTCCTTCGTTCTATCAATAGATCATAGTTTCGTCTCTTCTGCACTTGACGAGCTCTGTCCTCGTCATCTAAACATGCGACATTACGCGCACATTTATAAAGGGAGTGTTCGCGTGTAATGAAAGAGTGTTATACTGTATGTATAGTAAACAAATTAAGATCAATTGAAAATGAAGGGCGTGTGGATGAATAGTCTGAAATTAACTCGCAGGCTTTAAAAACTAATTGCGGTAAATACTTCGGGTTAAAAATCTTCTTAAATTGTCAAGTCTGTCTATACAGGAAAAGTTTGTAGGAGGGAGATTTAATTTTTTTTTAAATGATATAAGCTTACTATCATATTCATGTAATGGTTAAACAAACATCTTGATTAAAGCAATAGTTAGAAACCTTTTAAAGGAATACAATTTCAATAACAAGTGTCGACAGAAAAAAATAAAACTTGAATTATCTATTTCCAATGCTAGGTTCAAGAAAATCTTTAAAAAATTCCAAGCATATTGAGGTAAAATTAGTAAAAAGGAATTACAAAAAAAATCATAAACGCCTAATAATTCAGTAATGTTTACAAGCAACTTGATAGAAGAATACTTTAAAAACTCATAAAGGAAAACAATTTTTAAAACCATATGTAATTCTTGAATCAGTAAATTCATTTCGAGTCTGGAGGATGGATTTGTCGGTAGAAAAAATAAAACCTGAATCCTCTATTTCCCCGACAAGGTTCTCTCGATCCTCATCTTCGTCGTCAGAGTCTCCTGGATTCATAGCATCGTTTTAGACTGGTACTGTTCAATTTTATGTACAGTGTACACTGTGCAGTTATGAACAAAAAAAGCGAGGAAAAGTTGCTTATTTAAATATCTATTTTCTTTATAAATTCATCAATAAAATTATAGATTGATTGCTTGATTAAATTAGTAATTGATTAATTAAATTATTATTTGATTTATGGATTGACTGATTTATTGATTGCTTGAATTATTACTGGATTGATTTATTGAATGAAAAAACAATTATTTGATAGGTTGATTGATGGTATGAATGATTAAATGAATGTTTAGTTGATTGATTGCATGAATGATTAAAGGATTGCTTAATTGATTAATTGCATAAATGATTAAAGGATTGTTTAATTGATTAATTGCGTGAATGATTAAAGGATTGATTGAATAATAAATGGATTGATTGATTAATCATATAATTAACTGACCTGCATGTGAGATCATAGGAAACCTAAGATTACTGACTGTAACCTCTAGAATTGTAAACACGAACCCTATACCCCTGAAACAGTTTAACGATCATTTTCATAACTTGATTAATCTTACAGGAACTGTAAACGTACATTTCATTTATAGTGACATATGTTCGATTCCCAACGATATCCCTTAAAGCTGTGTCCGAGTAACAACGAGGAAGATATCGTCCTTTTATTATTTGATAAGTGATGGATTATGGAAATTTTCTTCATTGTCTCTGCTGTATAAATCCTTAAGTCACTTTAAAAGAGGAACCACAATTAAAATCAATCAATTTTTGAGCCAGAACAACAAGGATACCTCATTCATTCTTGATTGTACAAACAAATTTCAGGATACCGTTGTGAATCGATCATTTAACTGAATTGGGGAGACAAAATAAAGTAAAAATAAATTGATATTTGTAAATTGATCCACTGTAAACTCTGATAATTGTTTTCCACTTTCTAAATTAATTTAGTAACTTGATTAGTTCCTCGCTTTAAAGCAAACTGTACAATGTGCATGCGTAGCGGTACATAAACTGTACATACCTTGCTACGCTTCTAATAAGCAGTACATACACTGTACATATCAGTCTGAGTAAACTATTTGCTAGTGAGTCCAGAGTAAGATTCCTCTCTTGTACAGTTCTTCACACATCCAAAATAATAAGTTTATTTTTTAAATGAAAAAGATTAAAATGCGCAACATTTCAAAATGGTATTTTCTTAAAATAGAAATAGCGGCTAAATGCTGCGTCAACAAATTATAGAAAAATTTAACATTTAAAAGTTTTGGTCTAAACACAATATAGTGGGTCANGGTGCAAAATATCTTAAGTTTAATAAAAACTAGAACAGGTTTGCAATCTAATCGAATGAATACCAGTAAATTAACACTCCTACAAAATTTAATTTTTTCATTTTCCGGTCAAAAATATTTTTATTTGTTGCATGTTCCTGATTATGAATCTGATGAGGAGAATAAGAGAACATGTTCCCACCAGGACACCTAGATATAGCTCAGCAGGGGCTCGGAGTAACCCATCAAGAACCTGATGCAGAAAAAAATAAAATTGAAAATTAGGGTCTGAAATAAACATTTACTATGGTTGCTTTATTTATAGTAGGGTTCTAGGATTTTGCCATAAACATTCAGATTTTTAGTTCTTTGTCATTTTTTCTGATTTTGCTTTATAATAACTGTTCTTTTTTGCTACAAAGTTACTTAAAATTTTTCCATATTCTGTATTTTTTTTAAATAAATCTTTTTCCCTAGTTTATTACTTCTCAGATTAAAATGTAGCAATGGGCTATGTGCTATTCCGAGTCCAACTGATGGGTCTACTGTTTAAACCTACCTGATAGGCTACTGTTTAAACCTACCTGATAGGCTACTGTTTGATCCTACCTGATAGGCTACTGTTTTAACCTACCTGATTGACTACTGTTTGATCCTACCTGATAGGCTACTGTTTGAACCTACCTGATTGGTTACTGTTTAAACCTACCTGATTGGCTACTGTTTGAACCAACCTGATTGGTTACTGTTAGAACCTACCTGATCGGTTACTGTTTGAACCTACCTGATTGGTTACTGTTTGAACCTACCTGATTGGTTACTGTTTGAACCTACCTGATTGGCTACTGTTTGAACCTACCTGATTGGCTACTGTTTAAACCTACCTGATGAACTACTCTTAAAACCAACCTGATGAACTACTGTTAAAACCTACCTGATGGGCTACTGTTAAAACCTACCTGATGGGCTATTGTTTGTGAATGAGCATTGAAGTTGCGAAGTATGGATGAAATGCTGGTGAACAGAATGTAAATAGTTCGAGGAACAAGGTTTATTAATAGAAGGCAGCTTGATCCTGACCAACCATCGATTATTAGAAATTTAAACTCAGAGCCTCAGGGGTATACTTTTCTTGAAAGAGGGGTTTGAATATTGTTGGCCCAATCATNTCATTTGTCTCCGAATCAGCTGATCCCTAGTCGGCGTCCCCAAGTAGTGTCTGTGGTAGCCATTAAGTACCACTGCTCTTGTTTTTGTTTTCCTGCTTAAAAATTTTTACTCAAAACTTATTATCGTTGGATTTCCTAGAAGATTGGCGAATGCTCCTAGATTATCTGTACAATAGTACACTGCTTGATACCCGGCCAGTACACCACGGACCAGTGACCCGGCCAGACCAGTCACTCCTATAAAACACATCAAATTAACTGTACCAAATAAAAAACACGCTTTCTTATCGTATTTTCTTGAAGTCTTATGGAAAGTTGTTGCTGCGTCCCCCCAAAAAGTTAGAAAGTTGTCCCTGCCGGGGAGGGGCGGGATAAAAAATGATACCCTCCCCCCGTCTAGAAAAAGCCACAAGTCACCCATGCTTAGAGAAATGTTTTTTTTTTAATTATTTAAGGGGAAAAGCATCCAAACAAGTTTAAAGTTCAATCCTCATTGGTTGATATTTATATTCCCCCCGAAATAGTTGTTTGAATCCAATAAATCCAAATGCGGAACAAACCCTCATTTCTTCATTGTGGTCTAAAAATGTCGCTCAAAAACAATTTTAATAAAACAATGCAAAATCTTCGAAATTTAGTTTTATTTAAAAATAAAAAATAATAATAAGTTTATTTTTAGCGTACATAATTTACAATATTTTTACTTAAATTATTCTAAAATTTTGAACACCAGGGGACTCAGCGAGCAAAAGCTGTAGTGCCAACTTGCCAAGAGCTCCCTCGGTCGGTTAGTTGTAGGAGCTGAAGTTTGAGAAAAAAAAAAGTTTTAAGAAACAATGTAAAGGAAAGAGCACATTTATTAATAGACACTGATAAGGTTAATGCTTGCTTATTAGTTAAAATATTCTGTAGCGTAGTTAATAATAAATATACGCAAAAACGGTGCAACATGTGCAAAGCGCAGATGTTTAATTTACCTGAATGAATTGAATACACAGTGTTGGATCCAGCTTGAAGAATTGAATCTGCAAGGTTGGATCCTATCTCCAGGATGGATGAGAATATGTCCAGGAGTTCAACCAGGAATATTACTAAATCCTCCAGGATTATCTGGACAGCGGAGAACAAGGTCAACAACAAACTGAAATATGAAAAAATTTCATTATAATCTGATCCAGATCCAGATCCTCGATCCATCCTGCAAAATTGGATTCGAATCAGGATCTAGCTTTTTAAAAATGTCTTAAACAATAAATCGTTCATTCAGTAAAATCATTAGTTCAATAAAATCGTTCGTTCAGTAAAAAAACTATAGTAAAAAACTTTAGTTTTTTAAAAACTTTGTTCTAAAAATTTGTTCGTTCAGCGAAAAAAGTATAGTTTTTTAAAAATCTTTTGGAAAATTCGTTCGTTCTGAAAAAAAAACTGTTTTCAAGTTTGTTTACACGATTTTAAAAAGTTCGTTATTGCTTTTATTTAGATGTTTATAACAAGCGATAGTTTTTTATTTCTCTGAACGATCCAAGTCGGTTGATCTATAGTCACAGTTAATCAATTAACAAAAATAGTTCGGTTAGCTAGGGTTACCTGAGTGTTGAATAGTATATATATTTGAGGGATGAGAATATAGCATCTCCAAGGTAGAAGTTAACCGTGAGAAGGTAGGAGACTAGGCTACTCGTCCCACTCCCAACACTTAACAGTTAATAGGTAAATTATGTATCAAAGGTTAAAAATTGTAAGGATATTAACGTCTTAGTGCTGATGCCACAAATTTTAGAATTTGTTCCGGGGAAGGGGGGGGGGCTAAATGTTTCTACCAGGGGGATCAGCACCCGTTGAGGCTTTAACCCCCTCAAAACCATAAATTTTACTGATTTCCGTAGGGAGGCAGTGGGGCTGAGCATCCATAGCTCCTCCCTGATTACGCCACTGAGGTCAGCACATGTAAAACGAGTTTAATATGTTTTGTCGGGATTTGAGCGGTTCACATTATAGAAAAATTGAATAGGAATAAAAACCAATTTTACCTGTTAAACGCATCTACGAGAGGTTGAATCAACGCTGCCATCTTAGTTACTAGCTAGGTCATTTTTCTAATAATAAAAATGATTAATTTGCAATTTATCAAGCTTCAAAAGATTTTCACCTGCAGAGCGTACATGATATTTTCAAAAAGAAAACAATTAAAAATAAAAATAATTTTAAGATCAAAAAAGGTTTTGTTTCTTCAATTCTTGAAGATCACTTTGTATAGCCCTTAACCCCCCCCCCCCC